TGCTATTCATAAGGTTTTCCCTGGCCAATTCTTTCAGAAGTAGACGGCCTCTTCCTTCTTCCTAGTCTGTCTCAGTCTATACGCTGGGCTGTTACCTGTGCACCAGGTGCATCTCTCTGGGTTTTAAACACCAGAGGCTCAGCCTCAAAACTCACGTCTATATGTCATCACAGTAGGACAGACCAACAGACAAGTTTGTCCTGCTGCTGGAGACCTCTCGTGTCACCCCCACCTGGCTGACTGTTCCTCTGTCTGGCTTCCTGTCTTTTAATCCCCTTTCTCCTGCTCTTCTGGCCTGCTTCTTCGGGCGTCCGTGAGTTGTCTCTCCTCACCCGTAACCCTGGGGCTGACTGGTCTTCTGTCCGGGTTCAAGGCTTTTATCCCCTTTCTTCTGCTCTTTCGGCCTGCTACTCTGGATGGCCTGAGTTTCCCCTCCTCATCTAATCCCTTCGGCTGATTGCTCTTCTGTCCGGGTTCAAGGCTTTTATCCCCTTCCCTGCTTTTCCGGCCTGCTACTCTGGCGTCCCTGCGTTGTCTCTTCTCACCTGTGAGCCTGGGGCTCAAGCCTTTTATCCCTTTCCCTGCTCTTCCGGCCTGCTACTTTGGCGTCCCTGTGTTGTCTCTCCTCTCGGTGAAGATTACACCCTAGGAAAACCTATGGGTTTTCACTAAGTCAAAGTAGACTCAATGATACCTACCAACAACACAATAGTCTGTAAAGTCTCCGTGAACAATGGATTAGAGAATATTGAACCATTGCTCCAGGGATACAGCAAGATTAGATTCCTGAAAGCCTCTGGTCACAACATGTTCATCGGCCTTCAACACATAACCTTGTTTTATGTGTGCTTCTGTTTAAAAGCATATTATTTAACATAGACTGTTGAGTCACTGACATTGAACGACCGACATGCTGTAACTTGTGTCTGAAGCAAGCTTACCTCTCACACGTTTTCTCCATCAGCATGTCACAGCATTGTGGCACTTAGGAACAGTAGTAGCCAGCACTTTAGCACTGTCTTGGGGGGGTGCATGTTAAATGATGAAATCAGCAACCAAACATAAAAATGTAGTGCTAAATAGACCAGAAAACGGATGAGTGCCAAGACGAGAAGGCAGAGTATCACGTTGTTTAGCTTCAGGAAGATGCATTGTCTGGTAACTCAAGCTTTTCGCCACTCTGTGCATGTCCGCGAATACCCACAAAAGCACTGAGAGTGCTGATTTGGGCTTCCAGATCGCTTGCAGCATGCAGGCCAGTTTGCAAATATGGAACCAGCAGACAATGATACCACAACAAAGCGATGACAAAGGAAGGGGCGTCCAGTGTTGGAGAGCCCCTTTAAGGTTTGCTAAGACCGAAGGAGCTTTGCTCAATGAAAGGGGACTCCGTGGCTCAAACAGCCAGAAGAATCTTGAGCTGGTCCATATTGGCTCGTTTTTATGAGGTGTGAAAAGGACATGCCATCTAACTACCAGCCAAAAGAGGAAGGAGTTTATTTCTCATTTGCTTAGTTGTAATCCAGGGGGAAGAATGTGTCAGGTTTGGGATGTTAACATCATTGAAGAAAGGTGGCTTTTCAGTGAACAAGTGAATTTGAACCAAGTGGCAATGAGTACCCAGAGCCTCTGCCATCAAGTTCATTGCAACTTACAGCAGAATAGAACTGCCCCACGGGGTTTCCAAGGCTGTGAATCTTAAGGAAGTAGATTACCTCATCTTCCTCCTATGGAGTGACTGGTTGGTTCGAACCGCCGACCTTTTGGTTAGCAGCCAGATGAAAGTGTGAATATAAACAAAAAATCAGATATAAAAACAAATACAATAAAGGTTTCTTCTCCCTGATTCCCATTTCCCTTCCCCAGGAGCAACTACTAACACCTGTATTTCCATTTGTCACCTGTCAGTGAATGACCTGTTTAACCATTTATATCTGAAACAAGTCAGTAGTGGTTCCTGGGGCTGGGGGCCAAGAGGCAGGTGGAGTGGGATCAGGTGGAGAAGCTACTGTCAGTGTTCTGTTCCTCAGGTTGGATGGTGGGTTCCCAGGTGTGCATTCAGCATGAGGGAAAGGCCGGGTGTGAGACGCAAATCACATCATCTTCTGATTTATTAGACACTTCTCTGTTTTAGTGGAAGAATTCTCGCCTTCCATGTGGGAGACCTGGGTTCAATTCCAGCCAGTGCACCTGATGCATAGCTACCATCTGTCAGTGGAGGCTTGAGTGTTGCTAGGACGTTGCACTGGCTCTAACAGAATAACAGGGGCTGGAGAGAGAGGCAGGATGACCAACTTCAGGAAATCGGACAGTGAAAACTCTGTGGGTCACAGTGGTCTGGTCCACAGCTGATCATGGGACTGGGGCAAGGGCTGGCAACATTTGGCTTAATTGTGTATAGGATTCCCCCAAACTGGGGCTAACCTGATGGTAACTAAAAGCAACAAATTCTTTCTACTGGGGGTCTGCACAATTCTAATAAGAAGCATCTGATTAGGGATCCAGTAACGGCTTATTTCAAGCTGTACCTTTCTAAGTCTACCTTGCTTGGAGTCAAGAGTTGTTATTTTTGTTGGTTGGTTTGTTTTTGTATGTTGCCCAGCCCTAGAAGGATCTGTGATAAAATACTCCCATATTGCTGGGCAAAGGTGCTCTTTATGTGTGCAGGTGACTCACTAGCCCACTAGATCTTAGTGTGCCCAGCTATGGTGCAATGGGCTCCTTTATGTGACCTTTTGCCTTGGGTCTTTGGAGAAACAGCTTGACAGACGTTCCCCCTAAGTCTTGAGCCCTTTGGCCTAGTTTCTACCCCAGAGGGTTTGTTACCTTTATCCAGGTTGGTTGACATTTCTGGGTAAGTTGTAAACAACTTGGTTTGATACTTTCTGCCTGGCCCTGGGCTGCATGCGGCCTGTATTGTTATTAGTATACATCCTTACCAGGGAGTGGTTGATAGACTATGCAAATGAGGTGAGGTGTAGCCTCCCTGTGCCTACCATGCAAATAAAGTATCTGTGGCCTACTGAGAAGGGATGGTTCAGTTTGTGGCCCTCATGGGTGGGCCATGCCTTGAAATTTATAAGGCATTTGTGTCTATATACAGCCAGTCCCACAGAGGTTAGGCAGATAGACAGAAGCAGGGAGAGAAGCAGCAGCAGAGAGAGAGAGGAGCAATGAACCCCCTAAAAGAGCTGTAATACTGGTCAAAGGGCCTAACACTGAAGATGAAAGGCCTGGAAGGGGCCCAGTGGCAGAGCTGGTAGCAAGAGACAGCAGGGACAGGGGGAGCCTGTCCTGAGGGGACCAAGAGATTTGTGAGCGAGCTGTCCTGCACCAAAGAAGGAAAACTTGGCCTTTGTGCCTCCTGATTCTCATCCTGAGTTACAGCTTTTTGATTCTGATCTTGAATTGCACTCTGTTCCTTCCTTAATAAACCACTTAACTGTAAGTAGGGCCTGTGAGTTCTCTGTGGCCACTGCAATGGATTATTGAACTCAGCAGAGAAGTAGAGAGTGCTGCAGGAAGGACAGCTGGTGTCAGAACGGGCCAAGGGATAGTCTTGGGCTGATCTTAAGTCACATCATGCCCCCTGAAGTCAGACAGGTTCAGATGTTATTGTTGTTAGGACCACCACGTCTTCACACCAGCTTGGTTGCTATGAAGCTTCTTGTGCAAAGTCTTCACTGGGTCAGAAAGATGAGAAACAGACGTCACCACCACCAGTTGCTGTCGCATCTGACTCATGGTACCCCACGTGTGTCAGAGGAGAATTGGGCTTCCACAGGCCTTTAAATGGCTGATTGTTCAGAAGCGGGTTGCCAGGGCTTCCTTCCGAGGAGCCTCAGGGTGGACTCAAGCCTCCAACCTTTGGTCAGAGCTGAGCGTGTCAATCATTTACACCACCCAGGGTCTCCAATGTAGATAAAGGGTAATTACCATCTAAAACCCAAGCAGAATTCCTGATCTATATCGATTACCCAAGGAACCCTGGTGGCACGATGGTTACGTGCTTGGCCTCTGACTGACAAGTTGGCAGTTCAAACCCACCAGCTGCTCCACAGCAGAAAAGACCCAGTGATGTGCTCCCATGAGGATGGCAGCTTAGGTAACCCCATGCTCTGTCCTACAGGGTTGCTGTGAGTCGGATTGACTGGATGGCACACCATGACACCAATAACAAAATAGATTACTTGGACTGGTTCTGTTTTTCTCACAGCCAGACTTGGAAGTGAATCTATTTGACCCTAGAATCTCTGTCTAAAACCCATTTGAGTTTGCCTGCCTGATTTGTGGCTTCTTAAAGATGATAATCTTCTCAAGAGCGAGAAGCAGGCTGCCGAGGCACCCTGTGTAAATTGCATGGATGCCCTGGCTACCGGAAGCCAACTTAACATTGGACCAAATTGGCATCACTGTGTTTAAGTTTTTCACAATCCATAGAGAATGTAAATGTTCTCGTTCTGCAGGGAGAATTTAAAGTCCAGAAAGAGGCTGTGTGGACGGTGGCTAACTTCACCACGGGGAGCACTGTGGACCAGCTGATCCAACTTGTCCAGTCTGGAGTCTTGGAGCCACTGGTGAATCTGCTCACTGTCCAAGACCCCAAAACTGTCCTCATCATCCTTGATGTCATCTCCTATATTCTCCAGGTGAGCTTTCTGAACAGGTTAGTAAACTGGGAAAAAAAAAAAAAAAACAACTCACTGCCGTCAAGTCGGATCTGACTCATAGCGACCCCTCCTTGGGTTTCTGAGGTGGTATCACTATGGAAGTAGATTGCCCAACCTTCCTCCCCAGGAGTGGCTGGTGGATTTGAACCGCTAGCCTTCTGGTTAGCAGTCAGATGCCTTAGGCACTATGCCACCAGAGCTCCTGAACAGGTTAGTAGCAGCCTGCAGATTTGATCAAAATATTTTATTTGGTTCTTAAAAGCCCAAGTGAGATTCTCTACCCCCACCACTGCCCACCCTTCCACCCAGTGTATAGATAACGAAGACAAGAGCCTTTTGAGAAAAGACCCATCATCTTCCTGTTCTCCAGTGAGGGGCTTGTACTGGGCAATGTTCTAGAAGCTCAGGGTATGATACAGCACAGGCCTTGCTTTCATGCAGCTTATGTATTAGGGGCTGAGCGGACAGACACACCAGGTTGTGCTGTGGGCTAAATTGTGTCCCCCCAGAATATGTACTGGAATCCTAACCTCCTACGCCTGTAGGTATAATCCCATTGGGAATGGAGTTTTCTTTGTTCCATTAATGAAGCCACGTCGGTATAGAGCATGCCCTGACCCTAATCACTTCTGAGTCACAGGGAGCAGCATAGACACGAAGAGAAGACACACACCGCAGAGAGACTCAGCAGGAAGATCACCAGGGAACCGAGGGACAGAAAGAAGCTAAGATAGGCAAGGAGTTGGCCACAGAGCCAACAGAGAGAAAGCCTTCCCTGAAGCTGGGACCCTGCGTTCAGGTTTCTGTCCTCCTGAACTATGAGAAAACAAGTTTTCTCTGTTCTTGAAAGCCACCCACTTGTGGTTTCTCTGTTATAGCAGCACTAGGAAGCTAAGAGGGAGCTCTGGTGGCGCAGTGGCTAAGTCACTTAATTGCTAACCAGAAGTCTGGTGGTTCAAACCCACCAGCCACTCCTCGGAAGGAAGATGAGGCAATATACTTCCGTAGTGACACTGCCTCGGAAACCCAAGGAGGGGTACTATGAGTCAGGTCCGACTCGACGGCACACAACAACAGGAAGCTAAGACAGGTAGAAGAGTCTGGATAAAGTAAAAGGGTAAGAGTCAGTGATAGCTTCAAGTGGGGAGAGGATGTTGTTGTATGCAGTGGTCAGGGAGCTCTGAGAGAGGACGTGGGCAGAGAGCTGGAAGAAGTGGGTAGTCTTGTGGCTATCTGGGGAAGAGCATTCTAGACAAAAGAAATAACAAGACAGGCGGATGTGGCTGGAGCAGAGACAAAGGGATGGAAAATGGCAGACGATAAGGTTCAGCTAGGGACCAGATATCAGTCAGGCCCATGAGAGCTTTGACCTTTCTTCTGAGTGAGATAGAGAAACCAAAGGAAGGTTTATACTGCTGGTGGTGGTGGTGGTGAGGTGGGGAGTCAGTGAGTCACATGGTTGATTTAGAGGCTAAACCAAAGGATGTACTTGAAGGAGCAACAAGAAGCCAGCAGGGATAGCCCTTGAGAGGCCATGCTAGAGTTATTTTTCTGTTTAGCTGTATGGCTGGGAAAATGCACTACAAAGCATTGAATGGTTATTCAAAAAAAGTCTTAGTCTTAATCATCTCTTGCTGCTCTAACACAAATACCACAAGTGGGTGGCTTGTAAAGAACAGAAATTTACTTTCTCACTGTTCTGGAAGCTAACAGTCCAAATGAGGCTATGTCAATTACTTCCTTGTCAGTAGTCCCACGTATTCTTTGGTTCCTTGACAATCCTCACATGACATCTGTCTTCCCCTGTGTATGTGTGGATCCGTCTATGACTAATCTGCTCTTTCTATAACTCAAAAGTGATTAGATTTGAAACTAATCAACAACAACAACAAAATAGAGCAAAGTTGAATAAACATTTGCATACTATTGTTAGTTAGATATCGCTATATAACAAATTACCCCCCTTAGTGGCTTAGAGCGATTAACATTATTTCACACCATCTCTGGAGTTAGGAGTCTGGCTCCAGCTTAGCTGGATGGTTCTGGCTCAGAGTCTTTCTTGAGATTGCAACCAAGATGTCACTGGGGCTGCCATCATCTGAAGGCTTGACTGGGGCTGGAGGTTCAGCCCCAAGGTGGTTCATTCAAGTGCCTGGCAAATGACTCTTGCCTAATGGACCTCTCTCTAGAGCTGCTTGAATGTCCTCAGATCATGGCAACCACTTTCCCTCAGAGCAAGTGGTCGAGGAAAGTAAGATGAAGCCACAATGTGTTCTGTGACTAAGCCCTGGAAGTCACACTGTCATTTCAGCAATATCCTATTGCTTCTACGGGTCAGCCCTCTTCATTATGGGAGGACACTGCACAAAGGAGTGAATATCAGCAAGCAAGAAGCACTGAGGGCTGTCTTGGAGGCTGGCTAGATTCATTTGGTTTAGGTCCTTTTGTATGTGATTGATGTATTTGAAAAGCTTCAAAGGAACACCAGGGAACTACTTTGAGAAGCCCACTTTGAACATTCCTTCACCGAGTATCTTGGTGAGAATTGACCTGAGCTAAGACCAGACTTGAAACAGCCCAATTAGACACTGAGACTTTGAGCCAGCCACACAGATAAAGCATATAGACTCGGCAACTGACAAACTTGAACATAGCGAGTCTGCGAAAGCATGACTATGAGCTCTAGAAACATAACTTTATCTGCTTCATCTGTTTCTTTGAATTGTTGGGTGCTACCCAGTCGGCTCCAACTCATGATGACCTTATTGTATATAACAGTGAAATGTCCAGTCTTGCACCATTCTCATAATTGTTGATACGTTGGAGTGTCCATTATTGCAGCCACTGTGTCAGTCCATCTTACTGAGGATCTCTCTCTCTTTGGCTGACCCTCAACTTGACCGAGCACGATGTGTTTCTCCAGTGATTGGTCCCTCCTGATGATATGTCCTAAGTAAGACAAGTGTCTCCTTCCTTGCTTCTCAAATACATTCTGATTGTACTTCTAAGACTGACTGGTTTGTTCTTCTGGCAGTAATGATATATTGAGTGTTCTTTACTAACAACAACAATTCGAATGTGTCCATTCTTCTTTGGTCTTCTTTGTCACGGTCCAGCTTTCTCATGCACATGAGAAGATTGAAAATACATGGCTCAGATCAGGTACACCTTAGTCATCAAAGTGACATCTTTGCTTTTTAAAACTTTACAGAGGTCTTTTGCAGCAGATTTACCTAATGCAAATCTTTGAATTGAACACCTGGAATTTTGTCTTGAGAGAGGCCAGGTAAATCCCATTTGATGGACTCGTGAAGGAGCCCTGTATCAGAGAGAGGCATATGGAACATCAGGTTAGAAAGATCCCTTGAGATGGGCAGCAAAGTGCTGCTGGAGTCTTTGAAATAAACTTCTAGGCCATTTGCTCTTCTGTCGAAGTCCAAGATCCTTCTCCAGGGATCCTACTGTCTTACTTTCCCATCCCTCAGTTTCCAGTTTCTTTCTGAGGTTAACTGAGGACTTTGTCTCCTGCCTCAGTTTCTTTAAATGATAACTCATTTTTTAGACCTAAAGATGGGATTGGAGAATGTTATATAAATGAACCAAAGACAGTCTCTGCATATTGGTCCCACATTGTTGACTTCTTTGCAGCCACCTGAAGTCCACTAGTCCAACACAGCCTGCCTGTGCCAAACTCAGATTTGTACACATCCAGTTGTTTCAGAAATAGCTCAGAGAAGTAGATTTTTATCTACTTTCTAATAGAGTGGATGGTCTGCTTTCCATACCCCATGGAACTGCACCCAACATCTGCTACCCTTAGATAAGACAAAGCCCTGTAATTAAAAGGGCCCCCAAGCTGCGTCTGTCCTTCCACAGACTTCCCTTCCTGCTGCAAGAGGACATTGTGAAGGCACACACTACCCCCCTCCCCACTTCCCTGGCTTCTCATGCCACAGAAGGTGATAGTCAAGAAATACTGTATTTTGTACAATGATAAACTTAGATGTATATAACACAAATATGCAAGATGGGGAGGAAGACTGTGTAACTTAAAATCAACCTGGGCAAAGTGAAACTAGGATTGTCTATTCTGAAATACTATCACATCTATTTACTGGCTTAATGGTGGTTAAATCCACAGATAGAGCAAGGAAGTCTCCCACTGAGGTCCCTGGGATGGGGGTGGGGGTGGTTTACAAAATGGTTAACGTGTTTGGCTGCTGACCAAAAGGTTGGAGGTTCAAGTTCATCAAGAGGGACCTCAGAAGAAAGATCTGGCATTCTACTTCCAAAAAACCACCTGTTGAAAACCCTGTGGAGTACAGTTCTACTCTGACACACGGGGTCGACCTTCTGGGGTGAAACTCCCTTTAGGGCCAACAGAAGCTCTAGCTCACAGGATCTCTTCCCAGAGACTCATGTTCGCTTACATCGCTCACAGATAGCAGAGCAACTTTCCAGTAAGGAGAAGCTATGTCTTCTGCTAGAAGAACTCGGAGCAGTTGATAAAATCGAGGCTTTACAACTTCACGAGAACCGTCAGATTGGCCAGACTGCTTTGAGCATTATTGAGAGCCACTTTTTTGAGGTAAGTGGCTTTGCAGTGGGAAGGGATGGGCATACCTCCTAGTGGGCCAATGATCAGGTAATGACTTGCCCAGTATCCTATACTACAGTTATGAGGCAGGTGACCAGAAAGGTGAGCTGCTCTCTACCCATCCTCGGAACTTAGGGCCTGCATTTCATCCCACTCCATGTTGTACATGAAGCATTGGTGCTTCAGAGGGAAGTTCTCACTGGCATGTGGGACACTTCGGTTTTATTCCTGCCTAGTTTTTGCACAAGGCCACTGTGAGGTGAGACTCGACTTGGACGGCAGCTAACAACAGCCGCCATATTGTATGGGCTTTCTTTGAGCAGTGGTTTCCCAGTGCCTAGTCCCAAAGGAGCTTGTCCTGCCACCTCTGGATTACCTCTGTGATCAACTCATTTTGTTTTTTTCTTTGAAGATCAGGAAGGAAGAAAGGGGAGGAAGAGATAATGATGCCAGAATGACCTCTCTTTTTTTTTTTGTGATTAGGATGAAAGTTTACAGAGCAAATTCACTTTCCATACAGCAGTTCACACACACACATCTCATGACATTGACTACAATTTACCACAGTGCAACAGCTCCCAGTTCCTCCCAATAGTTACTTCTTCCCTGTGTCCATCCTGCCTCCATACACTCCTGCCCCCTGAATTGTCTCCCTGTGCATAAACAGCCCTTCTTCCTCCCATGATTGTTCTCTCCAAGGAGTGTATCTACCTCAGGCACAACATGTTCAACTCATATGCCTGTTTTTTGTTTGGGTGGAAGCCACAGGTGTGGGTTCAATTCCAGACCTGAAGGCCAGCTAGGGGCCATAGTCTCAGTCATTGCACGAGGCTTTATCAGACCAGCAAATCTGGTCCCCCCCCCTTTTTTTTCCTCCAAATGATTTTGAGTTTTGTTCCACATTGTTCTCCCTCTCTATCCAGGATCTCCTCCATAGATCCCCCTCTGAGTGGTTAACTGGTAGCCAGGCACCATCTAGTTCTTCTGGTCTCATAGTCATATAGGCTGAGGATAGCATGGTGAACCACTCACAAGGACTAATTGTTTCCATGAATCTTTGTTTTTTTTTTTCATTCTTCTTTGCTCTGGATGAGGAGAGACCCATCATTGCGTCTGGATGGCTGCTTGCTAGCTCTTAAGATCCCAGTCACTACTCACCAAAGTAGGAAGTGGAACAATGTTTTGTATAGTATGTTGTGCCAATTGAGCTTGATGTCCCCTGCGACTATGGTCCTGAGCCCAAAGGTTCAACTGCTTGCTCCCTCTGGGTAGCTGACTGTGACCAAGAAGTGACTATAAACTTGTCCCTTGTCAGCTCTACTATACCCCTGGGAACATACCAATATGCTTGTAGAACAATTGTCTGCCAATCCTATACATGTTCTTGGGTACACTCCCTGCTGCATAGACATACCTAATAGTTCAGCCTGCCCACCCATCTATCCATGCGTATACCCATGTTTGCCTTCATTGACAACACAGTACTCTTATGTGCAAAAGGGTTCATCTTTGTTGTCTGTACCTCCCATGTACCTCTCTATGTCTTCCTCTTCCTCAGTGCCACCATGTTGATCACTCACATTTGGTACATTGCCCTTCTCTTCACCCAAATCAATACTTACCTCTACCTGTCTAACTGTTCCCTGCCCTCCCATCCTACCCCTGGTAACCAACAAAGAAAATTTCCTTCCATAGATAAACCATTCCTTGACTTTTACAATAACGGACTAATACAATATTTGTTCTTCTGTGATTGACTTATTTCAATCAGATAATGTCCTCAGAATGACTTCTTGTGAAAAAATACAAACAACTAAGGCAGGCTGAACTGTTGAAAACCCATTTTGCTACTTACTTAGTTCATGATGGCAGTAATCTGTCTCCCCCAGTAGTCTGAGTTATGAAGAGACCTTGTCTAAACCACTCGGTAGCACTAAGTGATGTGCTTCACCCAGAGTACATGTTTGAATTTGAGTGAATGGACAGCCCTGGATGACTATGCCTCTTTCTAGAATAGAGTGTTAGGGGGTGAACTGCGCAATGGTGGCTTTCCTTTTTCTACAGGAGCAGGGGGAGGGAAAACTGATTTTTTTACATGAGGAACATGAGCTCATTCTTAAGTGGCCAGGTAAACAAACTTACACTTCTGTTCAGTGTCAAACTTGAATCATCAACGAGCTCCAGGGCCATCACAGCTTGGTGGTTGCTACTAATTGGAAGCTGCTAATCTTGGTTTAAGGGGCCCTGGAAGTGTGGTGGTTAAAGCGCTTGGCTGCTAACAGAAAGGCCAGTGTTTCAAACCCCTTAGCTGCTCTATGAGACAAAGAAGGCAGCCTGCTTCTGTAAAGATTGAGAAACCCTATGGGAGAGTTCTACTCTGTCCTATAGGGTCACTATGAGTCGGAATTGATTCGATGGCGACAGGTAATCTTGGTTTGGTGGGAAATAAGGGTGGTTTAATGGTAGAGTTCTTGCCTGTATGTGGGTTCTATTCCCGGCCAGTATGCCTCATGAACAACCACCACTCATCTGTCCGTGGAGGCTTGTGTGTTGCTGTGATGCTGAACAGGTCTCAGTGGAGCTTAGGAGAGACTAAGACTAGGAAGAAAGGCCTGGTGATCTACTTCTGACGATCAGCCAGTGAAAACCCATGGATCACTCTGGCCTGATCTCATTGTACATGGGATCCCATGACTCCATGGCAGCTAACAACAACAATGTTGATCTGAGGTCCCTGGGTGGTGTAAGCGATTAACAATCTACTTCAGAAAAATCAGTCATTGAAGACTGGGGTACATTCCACTCTGACACACCTGGGATCTCCAGGAATTGGAATCAAATGGCAGTTGGTTCTTTAATTCTTGGTTTGAGCCCAAGAGGATGCTCACAAAGCAGAGAAGATCCTGAACAGTGAGGAGCATTTTCTGGGGGAAAGCCAGCTGTGAAAACTTTTTAAGTAGGAAACATGACCTTAAAAGGGACTCAGATCCCTACAACTCACCCACAGGCTGCGTATCAAAGACTTCCCATCCACAAGTAACAGCTCCACAGTCACTCAGTGTAAGGATTGCACTCTGTCTCAAAACTGCCTTTATGGCCCACCCTGAGAAGTATTTCAATGCCTCTTTCCTTGGAGGGAGTCCTGAGGCCAATTTAGAGCAAATCCTAATCCACAGCAGAGGGTAAATCATCAAGTATGCGTTGATCTCCAGGTGGAGGAGCCAGGGGTGTAACGGTGTGTTTTCTTCTCTGAAGGAAGAAGATCAATTAATCCTCCGAGTCCAAGACCACAAAGACAATCTCTTCAAGCACGTAACCAAAAAACACTAAAGCCCTCCGCTTCTAAGCCAACCCTCAAACCCTTTGTCAAGGAGGCACTCCTAGCTCTTATCATATCACAGGTGTAAAGTTTTCTAAACTAATAAAGTTTTTGACACTTTCAATTCTATCTACCAGAAATTCAGTTAAAATGTTTGTGTCTTGAAGTAAGGTAGAATTAATCTCCTAAGAACATTTGGTTTACCTTTCAGCATCTCAAAGTAAGAGAACAGAATAGAATGAATGGTGTCACCCTCTAGGCCAACGTTGAATTGCAGATACATTTTAATTTCTCAGTGTGGTGGAGATGGTGCTGAGGTTTAGCTTGCTTTCCCATGGCAGTTACCTGACAATGACAAGTTCTAATATGATCATTTCTAGACACTAAACATCCCTCTTATCTTTCCTGCATGGGAAAAATCAAATCCCACCTCTCTGACACCAAACTGTAAAGATCACCTGCAATCTCTTATCATTTTCTCTTCTGTTCCCCTCCATTCCACTTCTGTTCTGGCACCAGCTGCACAGGTAGATCTTCCTCTGATCTTTGAACACCTGGGATGAGATCGGAGCTCATGAGTTAAAGGGCCCAGTCCTCAGACTGCCACGTGAGCCCAAGACCTCAGGCACCAGCTGCAAACTTGGAGACCCCGTGATGCCCTCTCTTCTGTCCTGTTAGCTATAATTTGGGGGTTTCCTCCACTATCCCTTCAGAGCGCCTGCTATAAACTCAAGTGTCCCCAGGGCTCCTCTCAGTTCTGACTTGCTACAAATTCAGGGCTTCCCTCTGCCCTCTTAGGATGCCTGCCGTAAGCTCAAGTCCCCAGGTCCTCCCCCCCACCACATGTGACCTGCTGGCTTCCACTACTCTCTCAGGTTTGTTTGATGATTTTCTGGAATGACTCATGGAACTCAGGAAAGCACTATGTTTATAATTACTGCTTTTTAAAAATATGTATATACCAAAAATGATGCAGATGAAGAGATACAAAGTCTAGGAGGGCTTCCAATGTGAAGCTTCCATGTACCAAAGAGGGACGCTCTACTCACCTCATATATCAGTGCTTTTCACCAACAAGGAAGCCCATGGAACACCTTTACTGGGGATCATTACATAGGTGTGAATGCTTGAATCATGTTCCCCTCCCCTGAGGATGACTGATGATCTCATGGTGATTTTTCTGGCCTGCTCCTGCCTGAGTCATTCATGAGAGGTCTGGTCTGGAGGCTCCTTGAAGACATTCTCACTAACTGGAGAAATTCCAAGGTTATCACTCAGGAACCTAGACCGAAATCATTGGGGAAAGTTGAATCCTTTACCCAAGCTTCTAGAAATTTTAAGCATGAAGCAATCATAAGTTTAGGGGAGTAGTTCTCAAACTTGAGTGCGCACTTGAAGAATCCCTTGAGGGCTTGGTCTACCACAGATTTCCAGGACCAACCGCAGAGTTTCTGATTTAGTAGGCCTGGAGTGAGGTCTGAAAACTTGAGTTTCTAAGACATTCCCAGGCAATGCTGATGCTGCTGGTCCAAGGCCCACGCTTTGAAAGCCTCTGATCTAGGTAAAGGTCAGCAAACTATGACCTGTGTGCCAAATTTGGCCCAGTCTCTATTTTTATAAATAAAGCTTTATTGGAACATAGACACTATCACTTGTTTATTATTCCTGTGTT